TCACAGTCATGGTTAACTTAAAAGCCAAACATGACATTTCATGCTCATCAACTTAGTATGATTCATCCCTTTGAAACCACTTAATCTGCAAACGAAGATATGGTGGAAACTCATTCATCTTGAGTTTACTTTTGACCATCAGAAATCCAACAGACACTGTTTCTTCCAACTTCGGATGATAGCACTGAAAATGCACCAGCCTTTCCCCCTGAAAACAGAATAAAAGTCATAGTGTGTTCACTCTTCTCCTTGGCATTCTGTGATTTTCATATCGTGATATAAGAGAAGTTAGCACCTTAATTAGGATGTGAATGGTGTAGGAGGGGAGAACAAATGTTGATATACATGAGCATATTTGCAAGAAAGCACAGAATAAGTGACTGGCTTCTACACACTCCTGTATTTTCCCAAAGATCACAAGGTTACAGTAATATTTAGACCATTGTCTTCTACTGTCTGTTCCATGCTCCCTTTGCATTTAGAAGGCACCTTGGTAAATTATGTTGTATTTGCATAATGGAGTAACCCAAACTTTTATTTTGCTTGTATTGGGTTGTTATCTTTTTTCTTCTCCTTCTCCTTCTCCTCCTCCTCCTCCTCCTCCTCCTCCTCCTCCTCCTCCTCCTCCTCCTCATCTTCCTCTTCCTCCTCCTCCTCCTCTTCTTCTTGGCTAAAAGATGTGTACCAGGACATCCTTCTCCTTCCTTCGTTATTAAGGACCCTAGTAAGGTCATCTTGAGAATCAGGGTCAATCATCAGCCAATATAGTAGTTCTCTTTGATTCAGAGGCACAAGTGCCCCCAAATGCCAGGCACTGGTCTTAACTTCAAGGTCAACAAAATAGTGGTTGGATGTGAGTGGAAGCTTTTCTCCCCTTTGAGCCTTTAGGCCATTTGACAACATGATTTTTGGACAGGAAGAATTTTGTTGTTGCTGTTCAGCCACTGAGGGTAGCAGGGAATGTGTGACATTCTTATTTCTATCTCTTGACTTCTGGACCCAGCATGCCTGGTTTTGGAGAAAATAGTAGCACTTAGGATGTTGACTTTTGAAATTTTTTTCATACAATATATTTAGATTGTTTAATTTATCAGTATACACAAGCTCTAATGAACAGTGTCCTACCTCTGCAAGTTATTACCTCTAGCTAGTGCTATATATAAAAACATCCCTATGGTGTAGGGAGACACCATAACCATGCCTCCTAAGAGCTGGCTACAGGTGTGCCTGACCATGCCTGTCAAGGCGTGGTCAAGGTGAGGTCAGAGTGACTTGGCATGGGCTCTTAAGCGACCATGAGCACATGGAATGCTCTCTTCCCCTTCTGCTGCCCATTCTCTATGGCCTCCCTGCCTTGCTGCCCCCTGGGCACGCTCTGGCTTGCATTTGGCTGGTATTTATCTGAATAAAGGTATCTTGAATCTACAAGCTTTTTCCTTCAAGTTATTTCTCTGGTTCTGGGACTCACAGAAGTAGATATACTCAATAATCAGCAAAGGAGAAAAGACTCAGGAGATTCTTAAAGGATTGCTGTTGGCAGTTATTGAAGCTTTCCTTTGTACCCAGTCCAAGTTCAAGCTTCATTACTTCCCATTTATTTTTCACACTTTGATAGAAGATACTCTGCAAGTTCAGGAGGTTAATTAGTATTATAATTAAGACACAGGTGGGAGAGGTAATCTTATCTCAGCACTTGGAAGGCAACAGCTGGATGACCTTGAGCTCCAAGCCAGCTGGGACCACATAGTGAGCTACACACACACACACACACACACACACACACACACACACACACACACAAACAAACGCACGGACAAAAACAAAAACATGCTTTTTGATTTGAACTAATCATTTTCTTTAAAAATGTCCATTTTGCTCATGTTATCTGCCCATACTTGTACAATTTATATTCTATTGTGGCTTCTGGAGCAAAACTGATAATGTTGAGTGATTTCAAAAATTCAGAAATATCAATGTGTATGCATTTTTCTCTTCTCATATTTTTCTTAAAAAGGCAGCCAAGCTTCTTTGATATTAATTGAGCTGTTCAATTTCTCAGACATTTTTGTCAATGCTATTAGCAATTTCACAGGCGCACAATTATATTAAGTTTTCTCTTAATTTAGTTTTTACCAGGAACTTGTTCATTTTGGAAAAACAAAAATCAAAAGGTAACTTAAAAATAAGAGGTTTATCTGAGATAGTTAGCCTTTGGTGAAACAAATTTAAGTGACTGATGTAAAATTGCATTGGTATCAAATTCAACTTTACCAAACTCAAAAATCAAGAACATAGTGATGCAATCTACCCATAGGGGGAAAAACAACCTCTTCAAACTGCTGCCCTGGGAACAGACCGACCCTATCTTTGCCTTTGCCAAATAAAACAAACCAAAAAGCACATAGGAATAAAAACATTTGTTTCCCTTTAAACTGTAGTATCTCAGACATAACCAGTCTCAAGCTTTACGCATTTCATTTCTCTCATTCTCCAAATTAGTCAGCAGTTATAGTTCAGAAGGCACAGGCCTGTACACCGTTCTACAGAAAACAGAAGGACATATAGTGCTTAGTTACAACTTTAATAATACGTGTTTGTATTCTACAAACAATGCTACACTCTGCTTTATTTTTTTTTTAATTTTATGTGTATGGATGCTTTGCTGGCATGTGTGTCTAAGCACCACACATGTGCAGTGCTGATAGAATCCAGAAGAGTGCATCAAATCCCATAGAACTGGAGTTACAAACAGTTGAGAGCTGCCATGTAGGTGCTGGGAATTAGGCACAGGTCCTCTTGAAGAGCAGCCAGTGTTCTTAACCACTGAGCCATCTCTCCAGCCCCTATACTCTGTTTTTACTATTTTGTTGTAAGGTTTCCTAAAATCCTTCAGATTCTCCATGAGCATCAAGTTCACTAGTTGTGCATGTCCAACCACATGGCTTGCCATCATCTCCTCACAGAAGCTTTTCTGAATAGTGAGAGCTACATCTGTGCCACATCTTCTTGCCATTTGAAACACCAAAACCCAAAAACAAACAAAAACAAAACAACCCACAAACCCCACAATAAACCAGCCAGCTAGGCAGCCACCAGACAGACAGACATGGAGTAGGACATGCAGAATGAAAGAAAGGTAAAAAGCCCCAAGGCAAAACACAGAAGAAGAGAAACAGGTTAAATTGAGTTATAGGAGCTAGTGGGACAAGCATAAGCTAAGGACGAGCATTCATAACTAATATTAAGTCTCTGTGTCATGATTTGGGAGGTGGCTGGTGGCCCAATAGAAAGCCTGCTACAGAATGATCCTTGGCTTTCTTTGATTGAGAAATCAATTCTTTGAGATTGAGATGTTTAAATTTCTACATTGGTTTGTAGGGTAATTAGGAGAGAAAACAAGCAAAGGCTGATAATGGCTTTGAACAAAATATGTTCCATTCATGTTAGCAATTATGAGCCTGAGTTTGAGGAAGTCAAGATGGAAAACAACCTCAGAATCAGGAAGTATTGAGTGGATTAAGGTATATACACATAGCTGCATGGGTTCTGATGGAGCTCAGAATTCAGGGAAGAAAGAGAACATCGATGAAATGCAGGGCAATGAAGACTGTGTGTTAGGAAAAAGTACTTGGGTGCGTGAAGAAGCAGGCCAAGTTGCAGTTTCAGGAGAGATGGCTCTGTAGGATTCTTCCTGAAATATCTTTTGCTTTTGAACTTTGCTTGTGGACCTTAGAAAATCATGGAAAAGTGAGAGTGAAGGTCCTGAATATGAAAACATTTTCACTTCATGCCCTGCCCGACTTCAATGGTGACTGTTCCTTCACCTGGGTGATTTCCTGTTCGTCCTTCAGGGCTCTATTCTGGTTTAGTCTTCCCTTCTGTTGCAGACATTTGTAGTGGTTTAAATGAGAAATGTCCCCCATAGACTCAGACTTTTGAAAACATGGTCTGTTCCTGTGGTGTAGTTTGGGGAGGTGGTGAAGCCTTGCTGGGGGAAATTTATCATTAGTAGTGACCTTTGAGAATTCAGAGCCTCACCCTCCTTCCAATTCTCTTTCTGCTTGTAGTTGAAACTACAAATTCTCAGCGTCTTGTTCTATCCCTCATGCTTCCCTGCCATGATGGACTCGTATCCCTCTGGAACCATAAGCCCAAATGAATCCTCTTTCTATAAGTTGCCTTGGTCACTATGTTTCATCGTAACAACAGGAAAGCAACTAACACAGCACTTCTTCCTCTAATATAGCCTTATCTAATTTTATTGTACCAATACTGCTTTCTGTCATTTATCACAAGACTGTCAGATCAATAAATATTTGTGAAATTTGTTTAATGATGAAAAAAGTGTATCTTATTAGATCTCTAAAAAGTGATTAAGATCTCACATTATAAATAAAGACACTGAGCTCAAAGAGGTTAAGTTGCTGTCTGAATATGTAATGACCTGGGTCTTAAACTTCCTAAATCTAAGTTCACCATTCACCAGCACAGTCACTGTGGGTCATAATGGATGGTGAATGTGACTATATCAGGGAACTATTTCAGAGGATGCTGGCACAGACAGCTCTGACATCCAATAGGAAACCCTACAGCACTCTTTCAATGGCTTTCCCCCCATGTAACCCCTCATTTTACCTCTTTGTCATAATTTTCCATTCCTAAAATCTTGGAAATAGTATGAACAGCCACTTCTAGTGAACTTTTGGCAAACTAAGCCATGAACTCTTTGCTGTCAGCCTTCACTGCTGCTGTTGTAGCTCTTTCACAAATATTTGTGAGCTATGTGGATAAAGTGTCATTTAGCCACTGTCACTTGATATGTCTTTCATTTCACTGTTTCCCAAAGTAGTTTGTTCAGGTTGATTAACTCTGGTCTTGAAACAAATCTCTGCTCACACCCATCTCCCTCCCACAAGTAGGTGGGGCAGTCTTCCTGGGGCTTGTAGATGAAGTGTTCAGTGAAAGTGAGGGACAGCCAGTGATCCAGAAACGGTTGTATCATGAGTGTCTCTGATCTGAGCGCCACCAGATTCCCAGGAAGCATCTCTGGCTTCCTCCAAGTAGCCTCTGTGCTTAGCCTGCTCCTGGTGCTCTTCAAGGTGGTCCAGTTCTACCTGCACAGGCAATGGCTACTCAGAAATACTCAGCAGTTCCCATGCCCACCTTCCCACTGGTTCTTTGGGCACAAGGTATGAAGGAAAGGGAAGGGTGGATGGGGAGCAGGGAGGATAGGGGGTCTCAGAGAATAGCCATCAAATTTACAGATCAGAGCTTGCTATAAAACAAGCACGGGTCTGTCGTGGGACATTCTGCTCAGAATGGGATACATGTGAGGCTGTGCTCACTTCAGCAAGAGGGGCTCACTGCTCAAAAGAATCTTGTCTTACTACTGTTGGCTCTGCTGCACACTTCTTCCTTATGCAGCTCTAGCATCTGTGTTGAGAGCCCTAGACTTGGGAGGTTGTTGTTGATCCTACCTAAGCCCTTTCCTTTCCAGGCTGAGTAACTCCCACAATCTCACCTGTTCTCAAAAAGCTGGACTTCTTGGTGGCTCCCTGCCCCAGTTTCTCTTCATCCTCTCCTAGCACAGAACTTGTTTGAGAACATGGCTATTAGTGTGGCAGAATCTGTCCCATGCATGGTAACAACATACAGGAATCACAGTGGGTGCCAAGTATGATAAAGGTACTCACTTTGCTATTGGGTGAAGCAACTGACCATATAGGTTTACCTAAGATAGAAAGACCTGACTTGGTAAATGATTTATCATTTTAAGTCCTAAGGGTCAGGAAAGTTGTCCTGCAGATGTGAGGGCTATTGCTAGAGATGTGCTATTATTCAAAGTCTATTTATTGATGGGCTCTTCTCCTGCACACCCTGTAGTGTGCGCTCCGTGTTGCTAAGCACACTGTACCTCAACACCCAATCAAGGGCCTGGCGCAAGTGTACTGTCTTCCAGAAAGAAGAGAAAAATTAGCCTAGGGTCTGGGAGAGCCTCTGTCATCTTTGGAGGAACAGGCACAGAACTAAGTAAAAGGTTGCAGAGAGAAGCATGTGGTTAAGTGTTGCATACTGACCACATTTAAGAGGAGATAGGTTATTTGGAATATGAGCCAGAGCTGAGGTTATAGGGAAAGCTTCTGAGGAATACAGCGTCATCTAACAGGACTACAGCATCTGGTTAAGATCAAGGGAAAGAGCAAAGCACAGACAGGCCATCAAGATGGGCCCCCATCTTAGGTTCTGTTGAATCATCCTCACCATGTCCCTGAAGTTGTTCTGCCCTTTATTTAGGACCAAGAACTGCAGATTGTTTCTTTTTATTTTACTCTTGAGGTTTTGTTAGTTAGATTTTGTTTTGTTTTGTTTGACAGTGTTTTGCAAGGTAGGCCAGGCTAGTGGCCTGGGACTCACTATGTAGCCTATATTGGCTTCATACCAACAGAGATCCTCTCTGGCTTCAGCCTCCCAAGGGTTGTGTTGGGATTACAATCATGAGTCACCACATGTAGCACAAAGTATTTTTAGTGATTCATTTTTCTACTGATATCAGGTCCCTAAGGACCAGGAGCTTCAAGATATTCTAACACGGGTAAAGAATTTCCCAAGTGCCTGCCCACATTGGCTCTGGGGAACCAAACTGCGCTTCCAGGTGTATGACCCTGACTACATGAAAGTGATTCTGGGAAGATCAGGTGAGGGTGAAACTCAGTCACCATTGTGGATCTTTCATTCTGGGTTTATACCCGGGTCTGTGAAATTACAGGAAGAAGTGACAATTCAGTTACTATTGCCTAAACAGTACCTTTCATTTGTCCTGGTCACAACCTTGCATATAGTCAGCAATACTTATTCAATACTTTCTTGGTACTTAGCACTACAACTTTAGAATAGTAGTGTGAGTTCAATTTATTTACCATTTTTGAACTAAATTGGGGTGGTGAGTTATATATAAAATATATTTCATATCTATAGTGACTTGGGTTTGAAACTGCTAATTGTTCTGTACTGTATTGTGGATGACTAAACTACTAGCAGCTGCAGTTAAACTACAAGGTTGTGCTTTCCTTGGGGTTGGGGACATAATAATCTACATTTCTTTTGAAGTCACCATTCTAATCCTTGGGATATTTAGCTTCTGGTATAGGGAGGTTGCCTCCTTAAGCCAAAGTGTCAAGAAGGGGATGGGAGACAGTGGGAGGTAGCATGAGGCAAACTGCCAATAGAGTTATTAAGATTTCATGGCACTCTCTGTTCTTATGTGCAGCCATCTCAGGCCACTTCATTTTTCTTTGTTTCTAACTAATGCCTCACCTTTTTTCAGACCCGAAAGCTCATGGTTCCTACAGATTTCTGGCTCCTTGGATTGGTATGTACAACACTATAAATACTATCTGTAGTTAGTTACTCTCCACTTGGGTTTGCCAAGAACTGTATTTTGATTCATTGAGACCAATGGTAGATGAGCCATAACCTTCAAGATATAATCCTTACTTGTAATTTCATTTCTCTTCTTAACCTTTTCCCTATGTTTCCATATCTCCTATTTATCAACATTCTTAGCCTAACATGTATGTCCTTCTAACTCTTCCCTCACTATTTTAAATCTTTATCTTGCAGCTATCATGATCACATCATAAGTACCAGGCCAATGGGGGAAAACATACTATTGAAAAGTATTAGTCTTTTTCCATGTGTCTTTGTCTTCCTGTTCTTCCAAAATCTTCAATGTTTGTCTCTCCAAATTGCCCCTACTTCCAATCCCATTGCTCGAGTACACTCATTCACACAACCATCGCTGTCCAGGGTATGGTTTGCTTCTGTTGAATGGAGAGACATGGTTCCAGCACCGACGAATGTTGACTCCAGCTTTTCACTATGATATCCTGAAGCCTTATGTGAAAACCATGGCAGATTCTGTTCATGTAATGCTGGTGAGTCTTTTCTCTATGTGTGTCTTTCTCTTTTGTTCCCTGTCTCCCTCTTCCCTACCCCTTTCACTCTCATGTCCACACACCCTCTCATAACACATATTCAGCTTCTACTCTTTAATCTTCTGACAAAGTCACATGGAACAACACTCAATTCATCATGTGAAATAGGTTCCTCAAAAGTCAATGCATAGAGGATCCAGATGGGGGAATAGAGGATAGGAGAAGAGAGGGTAGGAAAGGAGAGGAGGGGATGAGAGGGGAGGGAAGAGGAGAAGGGAGGGCAGGAAAGGTGAGGAGAGGGGAGGGAAGGGAAGAGGAGGGGAGAGGAGGGAAGGAGAGGGGAGTGGAGGGGAAGAGAGATGAGAAGAGGAGAGGAGAGGAGAGGAGAGGAGAGGAGAGGAGAGGAGAGGGGGGAGAGGGGGGGGGAGAGGAGGGGAGGGGAGGAGAGGAGAGGAGAGGAGAGAAATCATGGTGGGCACATGGTCAAATCTAACAGCATTCTTGAAAAATAGTAAATCCTGCCAGGCAACAATATTAGTTGTCCCTGGATGTCCTAGGCATGGCAGCTTCAGTGACCAGGCCTACTTCCCAAGATGTTAATCTGTCCTGGGACCCAGGGCTTCTACGTAGAATTGAAAGACACATACAATGAAATGCACACCAGGGCTACGTCCTCTCAGCTAAACTAGATGTACTATCCTGCCCCACATGACTCTAAATTTCCGACTTCATAGTGCTCATTGAACATTTGATGAATGAAAAAGACTTAAAGACCAGGATGTAAACTGAACTCCTGGAATCCAGTTGCAGAGAGGGAGGAGTGATGAGCAAAGGGGTCAAGATCAGGCTGGAGAAACCCACAGAAACAACTGACCTGAACAAGGGGGAGCTCATGGAACCCAGACTGAGATCTGGGAAACCAGCATAGGACTGATTCAGACTCCCTGAACGTGGGTGTCAGTGAGGAGGCCTGGGTAATCTATTGGGCCTCTGGCAGTGGATCAGTATTTATCCCTAGTATACAAATGGACTTTGGGAGCCCATTCCACATAGAGGGATACTCTCTCAGCCTAGATACAACCTGCTTAAATTAATATGACAAACTTTGAAGATCCTCCATGGAAGGCCTCACCCTCCCTGAGGAGCAGAAGGGGTATGGGATAGCTAGGGTATTAGTAGGGGGCAGGGGAGGAGGGGAGGGAGAGGGAACTGGGATTGACATGTAAAACAAGTTTGTTTCTAATTTAAATAAAAAATAGAAAAAAAAAAAGACAAAGATGATCCTCATTAGGAACACATGTGCAGGCCCATGGGCTTTCTTTTCCTTGACTATTTTATTATCATATTTGAGTCTCCATTAGTTCTTTCAAATTTCATTCATCTGCCAGAAAAATGAAGGGTTCTCTGGGGATCCTCTTTATCAACTGAAAGGTTATAACTGATTCATAAAATTAAAAGTAAAGATATGTTTAATTTTATAATCTTTCCTCTGAAAGATTATAAATAGGTATCAGACTACAAATATTTTTTCACATGTAGTTTTCTAAAAGATGTCTATATTAGCTATTTCTGTTATTGATGAGATTAAAGATCTGAGAAGAAGCTGTCAAAGGGAGGGAGGGAGGGAGTGGATACAGTCCACTGTGGTGGAGAGAGAATGGATGGTTGTTTCATGATCCCAAACAGAAACAGAGAAAGAGAAATACCAACACTTCCTTGACTTTCTCCTTTGGCCCCTTTCTGTTTAGTCTAGAACCGTCACCCATGGAATGGCAATGTTCTCATTCACGAAAATTCTTACCCCTTAAGTCAACTCTACAAATGCCTATACAGAGATACTCAAAGGTGTGCTCATTGATGTCCTTCATCTTTCTGTCTGTCTGTCTCTCTCTGGGACCTAAAATGTATTTATTTATTTTTATGATATTTTTATTATTTAAAGCAATTTTTATATTTAAATAGATTTTAATCAAATTCTTCCTCTCCCCCAAATCCTTCCAGACCCTGTGTCCTTCCACACTCCCAACTTCAAGTTATATAAAATCAAACAAAAACCCAATAAATATCAACAAGAACCCCCAAACCAAGAAAACGAAATAAAACACCACAAAGAAAGAAAAATTCAAATTATAACCAAATAAAAGCATGCACACACACAAAAACTGTGGAGTCAATTATATGCTGGTCACATAAACCTGCCCTGAAGTGGTTGTTATACCTAGTATCACTCCACTGGAGGAAACAGATTTTTTCCTCTCCCAGAAAATATAAATGACAGTTGTCAACCTTTACCCTAGTGGCTATTTTTCATTCACTCATTCATTCATTCTTTTAAAAATATAACAAAATAAAATATGAAAGCTAAAACAAAAACTATCACATGGAAGGTGAACAAAACAAACCAACAGAAGAAAATGGGCCCAAAAGAAGGCACAGGAATCAGAGACCCACTTATTCACACACGCAGGAATCTCATTAAAAAACACTCAACTGGAAGTCGTAATAAATAATCAGAGGACCTGGTGCACACCCATGCCTGCCAGTGCATGTTGCTTCAGTCTCTGTGAGTTCATATTAGCTCTGCTCATGTTGATTTAGAGGGTCTTGTTTTCTTGGTATACTCCAGCCCCTCTGACTCTTACACTTTTTCTGCTTCCTCTTCTATGGAGTTTCCTGAGCTCTGAGGAGGGAGGTTTGGTGGAAACATTCCTTTTAAGGATAAGTGTTTAAAGGTCTCTCACTCTGCATAATGTCTGGCTGTGGGTCTTTATATTTGTTCCCATATGTTGATGGAGAAAGCTGCTCTGAAAGTGGCTGAACTGGCACTCATCTATGAGTATAGCAGCATACCATGAGGAGTTATTTTATCAGTACAGTTTTCATTTTTTAGACCAGTATTATTTGGTTTTACTCTAGGTCTTTGGGCTATTCAGTCTCAGGTTCTTGGTCACTCAATAAGTGTTGAGTATGGCTTCCATCTCGTGGAATGGGCCTTAAGTCAAATAAGATGTGGTTATTTATGCCCACCACCTTTGTGCCGCCATTGCCCTAGCATATCTTGCAGGTAATACACCATTGTAGATAGAAGTTTGTGGCTTTCTTGGTGTTTGTTTCTCTTTTGTTAACAGGCAGAGTACTTTCCTCTACCAAAGATGCTGGAATATAGGGGTGAAGGCTCTATGTAGGCACCAGCTCTACATCTCCATCTTCAACAAGTTGTATAGGTGTTGTCTTTAACAATGGGGCCTTGCTGTCAGTTTATAAAAAATAAACTACAGTCTTGGCAGCAGCCCAGGTTGTTTGGGGGTTCCTGTTGGGGTCCCTTTGATCAATAACTTAGATGTAATCAATCCCAGTACTGAAAGCTTGGTTTGGTGACAAGAGTTGGCCACCTGGGACTCAGTTTCCACCATTATTTGATGATTTCGTTTAGATCACCTTAATATATGTATATATTTTAGGAATTTTCTGCTATAGTAGGTTTCCATACTACTCTTCAAATGTCCCTCATTTTATTTATCTCTTTGTATGCTTTCCTTCAACCCCCTCTTTCCTTCTCCTTCTACTTGATCCTTTGATTCCAGCCCCACCCCCTTTATTCATATCTATTTATTCTATTTCCTTTTCCTAACAAGATCTATCCCTTACTCTATACCTACACTCTGTGATTCTATGGATTGTATCTTGGTTATTATTGACTTTACAGCTATTATACTCATAAAAGAAAATATATACTCTCTTTTTTTTTTCTGAGCCTGGAATACCTCACTCAGGATGATGTTTTTCCTAGTTTCATTCTTTTGGCTATAAATTTCATGATGTTATTATTTTTAATGGCTGAGTAATATTTCGTTGTGTAAATGTACCACATTTTCTTTATACATTCTTTTGTTGAGTGACATCTAGGTTGTTTCCAATTTCTGGCTATTAGGAAAAGATCAGCAATGAACATGGTTGACCATCTGTGATAGTTTGAAACATCCTTTGGATATATATCCAAGAGTGGTATAACTGGATCATGAGGTAGATCAGTTCCCACCTTCTCAAGGAACACCAAACTGATTTCCATAGTGGCTGTACAAGTTTTCACTCCCACCAGCGATGGAAGAGTGTTCCTCTTATTCTGCATCCTCACCAGCATTAGCTTTCATTTGTTTTGTTGATCTTAGCCATTTTGACAGGTATAAGATGGAATGTCAAAATACCTTTGATTTTCACTTCCCTGATGGCTAAGGATGTTGAATATTTCTTTAAGTGTTTCTCAACCATTTGAATTTCCTCTGTTGAGAATTCTCTTTAGATCTGTACTCCATTTTCATTGGGTAATTTGTTCCTTTGATAGCTAGTTTCTTGACTTCTTTTATATATTTTAAATATTAGCCCTATTGATGTGATGAAATACCATGACCAAAAGTAATTTGGGGAGAAAAGGTTTTATATAGCCTATACTTGCAGATCATAATCCATCACTGGAGGCAGACAGAACAGGAACTCAAACAGAGCTGGAAACTGGACGAAGGAACTGATGCAGAGACCATAGAGGGGTGCTACTTACTAGCTTGCTTCACATGGCTTACTCAGCCTGCTTTCTTGTAGAACCCAGGACCACAAGCCAAAGGATGACACCACCCATCATGGGCTGGGCTCTCTCCCATTGATCAGTAATTGAGAAAATGCTTTAAAGCTGGAAGTCATGGATCCAACTGAAGTTCCTTCATCTCTAATGACTCTAGCTTGTGTCAAGTTAATACACAAAATCAGACAGTACAGCCATCTATCAGATGTGTAGTTGGTAAAAATCTTTTCCCATTCTGTAGGCTGCTGCTTTGTCCAGATGACAGTGTCCTTTGCCACGAGAAGCTTCTCAGTTTCATGAGGTCCCATTTATTAGTTGTTGATATTAGTGCCAGTGCTAATGCTAATGTTCTGGTCAGAGTTTTTTCCTCTCCCATTGAATTCAAGGCTATTTTCCACTTTCTTCCAGTTCGACTAGCACCACT